CTTGACTCTATCTTGACAACCGGATCCCGGTGTGGGAGTGGTCAGAGACTGGGGTGGATTCTCTGCAATTCTGCCTCGCTGTATATTTTGTGAGAATCACCGCGTGCTTCAACTCGTAGTGGATATCGTCGAAATCAACGGTCGAAGTGTCGTGTGTGTGAATAAGCCGAGGTCAACTCTTGAGGCCGTCGTGTTTTGGCGAACGCCTGTTAGTCAGCGGGATTTCATTGGCCTATCAGGATGCTGAGGAACAGGGGACATTGAAACAGCTTTCGGTTATCCTGAAGCAGCTGTGAGGTCGAGCCTCGGGGAAGGCTGGGACGCCGGAGGAAGGAAACATTAGAACAGTTGCGTAAAGCTTTGAGGCAGCGGACATCGGAGAACGAAGGGGACAGACTTGTCGGATGTCTGCCACATGCCTTCAGACAAAGAACTCAGATAGAGTTGTCCTATTAATTACCATGTAGCAAGAGCCAAACCTTCTTAATAATAGTATTTTAGTCATGCCAGAATGTGGGCTTCTGCATGAAGTTTGCATTTAAATCAACTACCTACGAGCAGGCAACATGTACGTAAATACAGTTACCGGTTTTTGAGCTGATAGCTTCGGCTGTTTGACCATAGTTAGTTTCACAGATTTTTCGACGGCCCAGACTAAAATTCAAGGTTCATTATGAACAAACCCCATTTGTTAAATTGCGCCCATGACCGACGCTTACAGAATCAGATTTGCACCAATCGCAACAGGTGCAATTATCTGCTAGAGATGCGGTAGCTGTTCACTTTAGTATTTATGTAGTAGTATAAATACTGCATATCCGGTCTTTCTTGGAAAATAAAACGTCCTGTGAACAACGCTCCTATTCTAGCCATTAATTCTCCTCAGCGTTTGTTTGTATCGTCCAGATCAAGCGTGCATATTTCCAGGATGGTTCCAGCGATGTTTAGTGATGCGGGAGTAGACGAATTACGAACTTAGTTTCCTTGGCGTCCTTGTCTGCTGTCAGCTTTCGGCAACTGCATCCAGGGAACTGAGCAACAAGCTGTGAATCATAAGATAAAAAACGGTCATTTTCTGAAAAAAAAAACTAATGTACACGCGCATGGATGAGGCGCACTAAAGCACTCCTCTAGGCTGGATCAATCATGCCAAAAGACAAACGTATGAATGAGAAGCTAACCAAAGCAAGTCATGCGCGAAAGCGGCCCAGAAGACCGTCGTATGAACCCTCACCCCTTCCGAAATAGGAGTTTCCCGCCGAACTGTCTCTGAAACATCCCATTGCTAATGAAGGCAACTCTACTTTCGTATCGTTTCCTGCGAAGACAACCACATAAAACAAAGCGACCGACAACCGCAGATGAGTTTATTTGAGTACCAGCTGGTGGTACGACATTTAGACCGAGATCCCAGACTGTAACCTGCACAGCCCACGCGGCCGCTTTCTGGGAGACGTTGTTTTCCTGAGCCGGAACTTCATAGCGTG